TTCAACATCTTTTATAAAATACATACATGTGTATTTTACATTTTATTACATTTGTGTGTAAATGAATGTGATCAATAAACAAAATTGGATGTAAGAAGTGTATGTAAGTACTGCAATAAAGTTTTTTATCTTCAGTAACTTTCATTCTTCTTTCTGTGGTACTTGCATTCTCTTAATTTAAAACTTACTTAACTTACCGTTTAGTAATAATTGTAACTTTACTATTAGGAAGGTTAAAACTCTTTATTAATCATTCTGTTATTTCAAGAGATCTCGTAATCATCTACAGAACTCTTAAGGGGGAACGCTAGACGAGAGACAAGTTTGAATTGGGCGCCATTTGTTGCCTTAAACGCAACCAGCAATTTTTCTTTAAATTTTACATGACGCGTTGGGATAGATGACTACCGGACGTGGATCATAAAAGTATCGTAACCCGATAATGCAGAATAATGATAATTTATGACAGGCGGCCCACAACATACTTTCAGCACAGAATAATCATTTCTCGTATTCTTTTGACATATTAATTTTAATATTCGAGATAATTATTATATTATTCAAACACAATTTAGACACTGTAGAGCAAACAAGGCTTATCAAGTCCGTCTATTAGTTTATTCGCCTAAATGTATTATTAATACCGTTTTCAAATTACATCAAAATTGAAAAATCGAAAACTTAATAACTGAAAAACTGCAACATTTTAAATGAAAACAATCGGTAAACCGAAAAATTGAAAAACCTATAAATCGAGAAATTGAACAATCTAAAAATTAAATAATTTAAAAATCGAAGAATTGGAAAACCAAAAAATCTAAACCGAGAACTTGAAAAATCGAATAATCGAGGAATCAAAACATCAAGGAAAACAAAAAAATTAACGGAAAATCTAGAACTTAAAAATTGAAAAATTAAAATACCTATCGAAAAATTGAAAAACCGAGAAATCGAAACATCAAAAAATGGAAAAATTGAAGAACCGAAACATTGCAAAATCTCAGAACTGAAATACTGAAAAACTGAAAAATAGAAGGAAAATTGAAAAATCGAAAAAGTGAAAAAATTCAAAACTGAAATCTTGAAAAACTGAAAAATGGAAAGAAAAGTGAAGAATCGGAAAAGTGAAAAAATCCAAAACTGAAACATTGAAAAATCCAGAAATCGAAAAATTGAAAAATCAAAAAATTTAGAAACGTCAAAAATTGAAAACTGAAAAATAAAAAAATTTAAAAATCGTAAAACTAAAATATCGTAAAGTTAATAAATTGAAAAACTGAAAATTTAAAAAAAAAATCGTATCAAAAACTAAAAATTCAAAAAATCGAGAAATTGAACAATCAAATAATCAAAACATTGAAATCCCAGTAAGTTGATAAATAGGAAAATTTAAAAAACAAAAATTTTAAAAATCCAAGAATTGAACATCAACAAAAATCTAAGCCTGAAAACTCAGAAAATTGAATGATCGAGAACAAAAAATCTAAAATTTAAAAATTCGACAAATTGAATAATCATGGAATTGAAAAATCGAGAAGTCGAAATAGTGAGAAAGCTAAAAACCTAAAACTTTAAAAACTGAAAAATTAAAATATCGAAAAATTTAAAAACCGAGAAAACACAATATCAAAAATTTGAAAAATTGAAGAAACGAAATATTGCAAAATTCCAAAGCTGAAATATTGAAAAATTGAGAAATGGAGAAATGGGAAAATCAAAAAAATTGGTCTAAAGAGATTAGACAGTACTTCCCTCGCTATCGGAAACGTGACGACTGCATGCCTATTATGTTTTTTTTCACATTAGCTTTCAAAGCATTCGGTTTTGTAGTTCCTGATTAAATCAACAAAATAAATTTGCGCATTCATTAAATTTTTTGAGGCACCGTGTATATCCGAATCCAAAAAATTTGAATGGAATGATAAATTACAAGAAGACTCATCATATTTTGTAAATTTTAAATAGGATTATACGGCAAACTTTTGAGCTGACGTCATCAATTTATTGGAGGGGATAAGCAAATATATTTTGACTAAAAAATTAAATGCCCTTCAAAATCGCAAGATTTGTCTCCCGAAGAAGCGGTTAGAAAAAAAATAATCAAATTTTGTACATTGACAGACAGAGAATTGAAACTAAAAAAAAAATCATGATTACTACTTTCAAGTCCAGGGACAAATGCTTGTTACGGGTATTTCACAAGTTTATTTTGTTGTATGGACACCCAAAGGAATGAATATAGAAAAAATTTATAAAGACGAAGAAATATGTAAAAAGATGGCAGATAAACTTGGCAGATTTTACTTTGGCGCATTATTGCCTGAAATAATTGATTCAAGAAGAAAGAGGAACCTGCCTTTGCGAGATTTTTTTAAAATAAATAAAATTTGTTTCTATTTTTTTATGTACTTTAATAATTTATTAGGAGTACATTTTTCATCACCAAGACTTGCATATTTTTATTATAAATATATTTTGAAAATGATCTCTCGGCAAATGAAAACATATACGAGCACTTTTTTCGAGTAAACAATGAAGGGAGAAGTTACTGGGCGTAAGGCTTTTTTAAAACACCTCCTTTCTGGGATAAGTAGTAGATACACTTAGCTACTGATACGTGTTAAACAAAAGCTGTATTTTATATATTTTTTATTATTATTATAAATATGTTTATTAGTTTTATTAATTAAGAAAGCAAAATATATATTAACAATAATATTATAATGAATTTTTAGTAATCATGTGTATAGAATTCAGGATCCTGAGTGGAGTAAAAATATTATAGTTCCCCAGTTTTAATTCGGTTTTATGATAGTACTTCATTGCGTAAAAGTTAATTTGCTTAACAATAGATTACTACGGCCGGTCCTGGCGGCTTGTTATAAAACTGAGTTCCTTGCCATAAATTAGAAAAATCAGCCGAGAACTTTAACAATCAGCTTATGGTAGAGCAGGCGATAAGGGTTTTACCTGAAAGTCGCTTCCGTAAATTTTAGTCGCGCTCCTATCGGCAAAGTACTGACCTAACTGCTCAAATTCTGTCGAATTGATACCCATTTTTTTCAATAATTGTTAGTTTTTATTAAAAACTCTGCTAACCAATAGATCATTAATTTTCCTCTGATATTCCTGTTAAAATTATTCGACGTATTTTGCATTAATTTGTGATATATTTTGATTTTAATAAACACATTATTATTTAAACAAATTGTACCACTAACAAACATTTAATAACTCTGCGCACTGTAAAAAGTGATGTTTTATCCATGTGCGAATTTTCAAGCGATTTTATGATGGTTATGACTCAAAAAACTTGAAAAGAAAACATACAATGGTGCTTTTTTACGATATTTCTCAGCCATATTTTTTTAGTTAATTGAACTGGTTTCTGCGCTCTAGAATATGAAAAAAGCTGCAGTTTGATGTATGATACATCTATATTAATATCATTTTTTTCATACAAAAAACCAAAAAAATATTATACCTCGTCTAGCGAGTCCCCTTAAACGGCAAACCTGGCATTTCAATTTTTACATTTTTACGTACATACACGAAAGCACATACTTTTTGGTCATTAAAAAAAGCCACAGTCTAACTGTTTTGAACAGGGATATTTCCACGAGTATGCTTTGGAGATTTTTAGATTTTTATAACATTCAACATGTGGTGTTTTTTTAATTTTGAGATTCGTCTTTCGGGCTTGTCTTGAAAACTGCAAAAAATGTTACAAAAGCACATTGTATAGATTATTACCAACAGTCTGATAAATAAAACCGTTAGAATAATAACTTTTTGATTAGATAAAGGATTATTCAAATTCTTTGCAATATCCTGTCCATACGTATTATGCATTCATTGCCCAAACACCGTTTATAATCACGTCACCAAATATTCTGCTCATCAACAAAAGTTTCAATTCGTAGTATTACTATTTCGTCACTAAACTAACAAAAATGGCCGCAAACAAAATAGCAAGCACTTTCATAATAAAAACAAATACAGGAACACTTTCTAAATATGTGTGTAAAAAAGTTCCAAAAGTCGATACTCGAAGAGCTTACTCAAACAATTGTACTCTGTATATGATCTGATTGGAAATCGCTGCGTCACAAAATGCAATAAGTATGCAATAAATACATTTTTAAATTTAATAATCACTATTTTATGGAATTAATGACCTTTCTGTATTTCCTTGTAGATTATTAAATTTTATTGTTTACTATTACATGGTTATGCTCTTTTCACTTATCTTTAACACTTTCTGAACTCTTACAAAGCAGTTAAATTTTTTCTAACTTACGAATCTCGTGCCAGAACACCAGATTAACTCGTATACATTTTTTTTTAATTTGTTTGACTTGTTTCAATGTAAATGAAATAAAACTGTTGTAACAAAAGGCAAGCTTTAACACTGAAAGTGAAATTTCAAAGCTAAAAATCTGGCGTTTCGCCACAACAAACACCAACTGCTATTTTCTCTCTTTTGTATATTTATTTGTTTACTATCTACTACAGATTCGCCTAATACCATGTATGTTTACGCTGTCTAGGTCTGATTATTTGCTTAAAATTTTGCGCAACGTCTAGTAACATTGACAATGTTGATAACACATGCAGATTATGTGTTGCCTACACTGCTCCTAATATTTATAAATAAAAGTTGGCCTTTTTTCTTCAGACTAAACAGCGGTTTTCCGTTTTTAGCGCAACCACTGTTCAACACACATCGGCTTCCTCTCCTTCGAGAACTTTTCCGCAACCGCAAACAACACGCGATTTGATTAATAACGATTTAGAAGAACTTCTCAATTACTGACTACAAGATGACTAATCATTTTCCTGGCACTTTTCCCAACGTCAAACAAATGACTAACATACACAGGTAAAGTGAAAAATAAATCGACCTTCACATGTCCGAACATAAATCAAAATAGGCAAGAAAAGTGCGAACGAAATGAGGGCGATCGTGGCGCCACCGCCACAGGAAACCCGACACTTACCTTTTTCTTAGCTTTTTTCACCTTCTTCTCCTCTTCTTTCGCCTCCACTTTCGTGGTCGTTGACGTCGTTTCATATACTGGAGGTCTGTAAAAAATGGTTGCAGTGGATTATGGGAACTATTTGCTTGACAAATTTATTTTATAAGTCGGAGCCAAGTGTCATGTTTGATTTGAACTGTGAGGTGAATTCAGATACGAGATTTCACAAAGTTGGGTGACTGATTACAAATTATCCCGTTCACGCTACATAAATTTTCGGTGTATGTTTATCTACGTGCATGGAATTTTCTACAGCATGTCAGTAAACCAATATCGTATATTTTTACTTTCGACACCAAAGTACATACATTAAAAATACCAAATTGTAATATTTAAAAAGGCCATTTAGAGCGTTAGTTTGTTTATTGACATTTAATTATTTAAAATAAATCCTAGGTAGTATGTTATTTTACAAAATTTAAATAACATTTACCATGCAAAACTTTGCCTTGGGAACAACCTCTACATTACTTCATCTGAGCGGAGAAAGAGAACTTAAAAAACAGAAATATTAAGGACAGAAAACCATCAATGTTAAAGTACTTAAGCTATAGGCAGCATCTATAGCATCTCATCTACTTATTACTTAAAAACCCCAAAATTAGTGTAATTAGCAAAGGAAGCACGCAACAATGACTCGATGACACTAAACAACAACGAAAAAGCAAAAATTCGTGACAATAAATAGCAAGAAAAACTCAACTCGACTGAAGGTAAAAATAATCCAAATAATTACTACTCTGGGTCTCATTCTCCGCTTTAAATACCTTTTACAAATATTTATTGGCACTTATTAAAATTTCTGACCTCACACAACAAAAAACGAACTCATGTTTTAGACTAAAGACTAAACCTGTGTAGTCGCTGTGGCTCTGATCTCCCCTACTAACTTGCACCTTCAAAGGTATATCGTTCAACCAATTTTTTAAAATCTCACTCACACCCTGTATTTTTATTAGTAGCGTATCTTACTCTGTTTTTGTTCGTGTTCTTCTAATGTGTCTTTTAAAAAAGTAACTTATAATTAACTTTAAATTTCGAAAATAGAAAAATTCATATATAGAAAAACTGAAAACTCGAGAAATCAAAAAACTTAAAATTTTAAAAATTGAAAACTTAAAATATCGAAAAGTTGAAAGATTGTGAAAACCGAAAGTTCAAAAAACGAAAAATTGAAAATCCAAAAAGTAAAAACTCGAGAAATCGAAAAATTCAGAACGTGAAAAATCCAAAAGTCGAAATACTAAAAAATCCCAAAATTGAAAAATTGAAGAATCGAAAAACTGAGAAAACTCACAAAATCTGGAGCCTGAAAAATCGAAAAATTGAGGAACTGAAAAACTGAAAAATCGAAACCTTCGCAAGTCGAAAATGGGAAAACCAAAAAATAGATTAATTCAGAAACGTCAAAACTTGAAAATTTAAAAAATTGGAAAATTGAAAAATCGGAAAATTCAAAAATCGAAAAGTAAAAAAACGAAAAACCGATAAATCGAAAAATCGAAACATCGAAAAATTCAAAAACTGAAAAAATCAAAACATCGAAACATCCGAATCTCGATAAATCGAGTTCTCAAAAAATTGAAAACTCGAAAAATCACAAATCGAAATATATATAAAACAGTCGAAAATTGAAAAATCTAAAGTTTAAAAAACGAAAAACTGAAGAATTGAAGAACTGAAAAATCGAAACTGCGAATTCGAGAAACGGTAAAATAAAAATATATATATATATTAATCGAAAAATCGAAAACTGAAAATTTAGCTACGTCAAAATTTGAAAAATTGTAAAATGGAAATACTGAAGAACTGGAAAATCAAAAAATCCAGAAATCGAAAAAGCTAAAATTTTAAACATTGAACAATTGAAATATCGCAAAATTGAAAAATGGAGAAATCCAAACATCAAAGAATCAAAAAAGAAAAATTCGAAAATCCAAAACTTAAAAATCGAAAAACTGAAAAATCGACAAATCGAAACTCCAGAATTTAAAAAAACTGAAAAATCGGACAACAAAAATCGAAACATCGAAAAATTGGAAAATCGAAAAACCGAGAAATCCAAAAATCGAAACATTGAGAAATAGAAAAAAATTGAGAAATTGAGCAATCAAAACATCCAAACATCTGAATTCGATAAATCGAGAAATAAAAAAAAAGAAAAATTTTAAAAAAGAAAAATTAAAACATCGAAGTATAAAACTGTCAAAAATTTGAGAAATCTAAAGTTTAATGAAAAATTGAAAATCCAAAAAGTAAAAAAGGAGTGGAATCGATCGGCTTGAAAATTTGAAAAATTGAATAAACGAAAAATTAGAAAATCGAAAGAAACAACAGATTTTAAGGAAATGAAAAAACAAAAAATTGTGATATAAAATCAAGAAAATGAAAAATAAAAAATCAGGAAAATGCAAAATACAAATTAAGGGGACGGAAAATTGAAAAAAAAAAAAGGAAACATTGTAAAATCGAAAGAAACAACAAAAAATAAAGGAAATCAAACAAGGAAAATTAAAACATCGGGAAAATGAAAAATAAAAATCGGAAACAAAAAATTGGAAAAGGGAAAAATGAAAAATTGAGAAACTGAAAAATGGAAAAACGAAAATCTGTAATATTGAAAAATTGCCAAATTGAAAAACTGATGCAAACCGAAAAATTGAAAATTTTGGAAGTCGAGAAATTGTAAAATTGAAAAATCAAAAATAAAAAACGAAAAATTACAAAATGAAAACTTGAAAAATCTTAAGAATCGAAAAAGTGAAAAATAAAAAAAAAACAAATATGTATTATGAAATAGAAATATTTAAAATTAAAGAAATTGGAAAATCGGAAGACTGGAAATCCAAAAACTGCAAAGTGAAAAATTTTAAAATTGAAAAATGGACGAACTGAAAATTCAAAGCCTGAAAATTTGAAAAATTGAACAAATGAAAAATTGTAAAATCGAAAAAAAAAACACAGAAAATAAAGGAAACGAAGAAACGGACAATTGTGATATAAATCGAGAAAATAAAAATTAAAAATTCGCCACACTGAAAAATAAAAATCGGGAACATGAAAAATTGTGGAAACGAAAAATTTGAGAAACTGAAAATTCGAAAAATTGAAGAAACGAAAAATTAAAAAATCGAAAGAAACGACAAAAAATAAAGGAACTGAAAAATTGAAAATGACAAAAATTAAAAACTGAGAATGTGAAAAATCGAAAAATGAGAAACTGTAATATCGAAAAATTGCAAAATTAAAAAATTGCAAATCGAAAAATTGAAAAATTTAGAAGTCAAGAAACTGTAAAATTGAAAAATCAAAAAAAAAAACGAAAAAGTTTATGATGAAAACTTGAAAAATTTCAAAAGTGAAAATTAAACACGAAAATTTGAAGAAACGAAAATTTGAAAAATCGAAAGATTAAAAATTGAAAAACTTAAAATTCGAAAAAGTGAAAAATAAAAAAAAAGAAATATGTATTGTAAAATCAAAATATTGAAAACTAAAGAAACTGAAAATTTTAAAGACTGGAAATCCAAAAACTGCAAATTGAAAAATTTTAAACGTGGAAAATCAGGGAATTGAAAAATGAAAGCCTGAAAATTTGAAAAATTGAATAAATAAAGAATTGTAAATCGAAAAAAACAACAAAAAAATAAAGGAAATAAAGAAACCAAAAATTTGTCATAAAATGGAGAAACGTCGAGAAAACATAAAATTCATTCGCCCAATGGATTTCTTTACTACGTGATCAGTGATAAAAAATCTCTAAATCAAAACTTACAATTATCTGACAAAACTGAATGTGTTATACCCGACTTCAAGAGCGAGAAAAGTGCTGTCTAAATAACTTTAGAGCAATTTTTATAATTCAACAATTTACATTGAGTATCAAAAATAAAACACCGATAGCTTTCGAATAATTTTGAATGTGTTGTACTATCAACTTTTGCCCTATTTAAAGGGATTGTAGAAAAAAAAATGGGGGATTTAAGTTGTGTGCTACAAAAATTTACCATTTTAGACATGTTTTAAGTTGTCGAAATAAGTCTACATATATTAAGAAAAAAAGGCAAAATGTTGCCCCACCCACCCGCCTTATCTCAATTGTGATGATTTTTTTAATTCTTAGCAACTTAAAACACGTTTCACAATTGAGATAGGGCGGGTGGGCGGAGCTTATAATTTCCGATTTTCTTAATATACGTAGTCATCTTTTTAGAATAAGAAACTTAAAACATATTTAAAATGGTAAATTCTTGTAGACAAATGTGGATCTTGCAATTAAGCTCCGCCCCTCGATCTGACAACGAATGAAAAATTCATCACAATTGAGAATTGAAATCGGGATGGGTATGGGTGAGGCCTAATCTTTGGCATTATTTTTTTCTTAATGTACATAGTATTCTTTGAAAAACACGATTCTCAAAAACTTGTTTTTAATTTCTGGTAGAGAAATAATGATTTTGCAGTTAAGCTCCGCCCCCTTGCCTCCCGTCGAATAAAAAATATCATCACAATTGAGATTGGGCGGGTGGGCGGGGCTACATTTTGCCTTTTTTTCTTAATATGTGTAGACTTAATCCGCCCCTTTAAATACGGCAAAAGTTGAGCATCAAAGTTGCTATCTTTTTACTTTATAAATGACAATTTTCAGGTCTGAAAGCAACGTCAACGGCGAACAACAACGTCAGCGGCAAGTTTATAAATCAACCTTTACATCAGTGGTGCAGCATCTCCGAGATTACAGTACCTTCAAGCCTCAAATCGTGGCCGTGATACGACCGAAAGAAAACTGCAAGCTGAAGAACAAATTTTGGAACACGTCGAAGAAGGGCCCGACATCAACTTTTTAAAATTTTCTCAATTAAAAAAAAATAATAATAAAGTGACACAATATTTAACCTTAAGGATGTTATAATAAAAAGTATTCAAAATCAATCAGTTAAAAAAAATATATACTCACAAATCCAAGTCTATATTCAGCGCCCGATGCGGATCATCCACGTGCCCGTGACTGCTATCCGAGTCCGACAACGTAGCCCCCTCCGGCAGCTCCAAATCCCGCTTCACCTCCACCACAGGCCCCTCGGCCGGGTTCTCCTCGTCCGACGAGCTCTCCGACTTGTGCTTCTTCTTCTTACTTTTCTTCTTCGTCTTCTTTCTGCTGGCGTTCATGCTCAGATACTTATCCGACCGCTTCTGCCCCACCACCTTCAACGGAACGTTCAGGTCGATCTCCGCCACGGGAATGTTGTCGACATTATTATTGTCATTGGCGTTCTTATCCCCGTCCGCGCCCTTCAGATAGTGAGGATTGTTCTGCAGTTCGTACTTCCGCGCTTCCCGACTTCGCCGAAGCTCCTCTTCGGTCGGTTCCGGATGATATCGCTCCGAGCGAGAATACTCGAGCTTGTCCGATTTAACGAAGAGGTTGTCCATGACTTCGGGCTCGCTCTCGGAGTCGGACTCTTCGGGGGGTTCGTTGATCCAGGCGTCGAGGTCGAGACTGAAACACAGAAAACAACAATAATAATAATACAAGTTGTTTTTAATGCAAAGTTACCCTTCAGGCAACGGCACCTTCTTCTGCGCCTTCGGCGCCACCGGGTTCAGCTCCCCGGAGAACAGCGTCATCAAGCTCGCCGCCACCGTCTCCTCCGCCGCCTCCAGCGGGTCCTCGCTCTCCATCACCCGCTCCTGCCTCGTCTTCGCCAGCTCCTCCTTCACGATCTCGATGATCACCAGCGACGTGCTCGACCTCTCCTGCACCTCCAGCTCGGCCGACTTCACGCTCTCCTGGAGCTTGGCGGCGATGACGTCGCACAGCTCCAGTACCTCCTCCAACCGCCCTCCCGCCTCGTACTCCTGCATGACGTGCGCGAACAGCTTGATTATGTTGTGGATGAACACCGATTCGATGTGCTGCGGCAGGGATTTGTACTTGAGCATCGCGCGCAGGGTGGTCTCGGGCTCTTTGAGCTCGTTCGCGAACTCGCCGCAGAGCCAGGCGGCGGCGTACAGCACCTCCTGCATGATGGTGAACTGGGACGTGGAGGAGTAGACTTCGAGGAGCTGGGCCATCTCGGAGACGGCGAACGGACGAATGGCCTGGACGCGGATGCAGACGTCCATGAGTTGGGCGCCGATGACGTGGCCTTGCTTCGAGCCGAACTCCATCTGGGCGAGCTCGACGAGCACGGTCACGTACCATTCGAAGTTGGTTATGAATTGGTAGTTGTTCTGGGAGCAGATGAGGATGATCTTGCTGAGGAGCTCGTCGCGGTAGATGGTGCCCTCGGCTTTGTCCATGTGGAGCATGAGCTTTTTCACGATTTCCATGAGGTTCTTTTTGGACACCTGGAACGGAATCGCGATATTTAGTTTTATTACTACATTGTTATTGTTTTTAAGTAAAGATTATTTTTACTTCCGAGCATAAGCTAAGGAAGTATAGGAATCGAGGCCATCGGACAAATGGCCACTTTTATGTTTTCTCGACGTTTCATGACCCCTACAGTACGAAAAAAGTAGTCTCCCGTTTCCGTCTGTCCGCCTGTCTGTCTGTCCGAAACTGCTGGACCGATTGTTGTCAAATTTTGTATGCATATTAGAAATATCATGTAGATTTCAATGAATGATATTTTAAAATGATTTGAATCTTATACAAAAATATACTCCTACACTTGTAGTGTAGGAATCCGCTTTCAGTTTTTTCGCTAAACGTTCAAATTTTCGCAAGAGCATTTGCAAGGTATAATAACGTTTTATTATCAACGCGGGATATAAGACTTTGTGGTGCAGTGGCTTTATCGCGGAGAACGGCAACCTGCGGTCATCGATTTGATGCCGAATTTGGCCCTTTACGTTTTTTTTTCTCGCATTGGTAATGCGCTGTGACTACTTTTCTTTTGTGCTGTGACTAGTATTATTCATGTTGATGACGTCATCACAATTTTTTTATTGGTCATATTAAGAACCCCATTTTCTCAAAAATGTGAAGAATACGCACGTCTTTATACCGGGTGTCTGGAAAATGGCGGATTAACTCCTCAATACGTTATGTACGGGGGCTTCAGGACTACCAAAGAAATAATAAAAAAAATCTTTATGATGTAGACTACGAAAAAAACGCCTAGACCTACTATCCTACTAAGATAAAACTGATTTTGGCAAATGAGATACCCTCTAAGAAAAGAGAGGGCGGGTGGGCGGGGCTAGTACCTGTTAAGACTGGTATTGGCAAATGACATAATTTCTAATAAATTTAATAAAATTATTATAAGATAGGACACTAGAGGCTCCAAAGCACTTTCAAATTCTTTCCAAACAGGTATACCTAGAATCTCAAGATTGTTTTAAATTTTTCAAAAAAAAGACGGAGTCCCAAAATTAACTTCAAAACAGATCAGGTCATAATTTTCCAAAAATAAAACACTAAAAGTTCAAAAGATTTTTTCAACTAAAAGTTTGATTACTAGTTATTGTGGTAATGAATGTGTTGTTTAGTTGTTAAACGTAGTAAAAGAACCAATTTATAATCGTTATAACTCCACCAAAATGTGAGAAGGATGTTTTAAATGTTTTTCTCAGACTTACCAGTTGATTGTTAAGAATGTAGCGAAGAGTTAATCCCCCATTTTCCAGACACCCGGTATAATAATGATAAAATAAGCATTATAATATTCAGAACATTTTATTCGATTGTGGTTTAATTAATAATTTTAGTCATCTGTTTTGAGAAGATAAACTCATTCAAATCAAACTAATTTCTACGTGACATTCTTTCGATGTACATATAAATATAATAAACACTCGAGCTTCAGATTGCTATTACCTAGTGATGAAGGACATTTTATCCCGTTAATTATGTGTTTCAAATATATTTTGCATTGTCCGTATGGTACAGGGGTTGCGAGCGTGTTATTTATGCCGCTGATTTTTACTTTACACCGGTTGTCACAAAACGAAAATCGTAAAATCAAATTTTATAATTTTTTTAATGAGCTGGATTTGTCAGACTATATTTTTATTAATCAAATTAAGAATCTCATTTTCCAGAAAATGTGAGAAAATCCACGTCTTTACTTAATTATGATCAAATAAGAATAATAATAATCATATTCAAAATAGGTTATTCCATTGTGGCTTAATTAATCATTTTAGCCCTGTTTTGAGGAGACAACTCATTCAAATGAAACAAATTTCTACGTTACATTCTTTCGATGTATAAACATAAACAATCGAAGTTAAGCATGTACACTGATAATAATACACTCTTTTCCGTTGGTTATTTGCTTTGAATATATTTCATATTGTCCCTATATCTGTTATTTACACCACTGGTTTTTCCTGTATAAAGATTATCAGAAAACAAAAAAATATATATAATTTTTCAAAGAAGCGGAATTTGTTGGACTGTACTTCAAAAGCGACGGGAATTCTGTCGAAGTAACTTTGGACCAATTTTATATATATTTTAATACATAAATACTGTAAAAACACATGAATAATTGAATATAGTGTGGTGACCGAATTTGAATTAAATTTTCGCGCTGAAATTAACATTCAACAGCGGCGCGAAATCACATTTCAATAATTTGAATTTGAGAAAAAAAAATCACTCAGAAAAATCGTTAAACATGGGCAACCATGTGCACGTTAGCGCTTTTGGGTAGTGTGTAGTCTGCTTGAGATTTTAGTTAGAGGTTTGGTTAGAAGAGAGCGGTTTGGTAGAGAGGTGAAAGAGTCATTGTTGTTTTGGTTTCGTGAGTGAGCGCATGGTGAAAAGACGCTAGGTTAAATTAGGCTTAGTAGTTAATAAAAGGGAGGAAGCCTTTGTTTAACGACGACTACGCTGCCACTGTTTTCCCCAACACGCGCAGTTAATTCTTGCGGCTTTCTAATCGGAAAATGCGGATTTTTGAACAACGCCAACAGTGTAAATTTAATTCATTGTTTGTAAATTCACAGTTCATGTAGGAGTTTAATAGGCGAATTTAAATGTTGTTTATTGCTCTTTTTGAAACTTTGACGCTTGTTCAGTTGTAGTTTAATATCAGAGTTATAAGGATTGAACATATAAATGGAATTGAGGTTAAATAGCACAAAAACACGTGGTGGAAGCGGAGTGCGCGGTTCCTAGTCGAGCTAGCGGGATTCATCACGCTATCTGCACAAAAATAATCCAATAATCGACACCCAACTGCGAGTTTGCGACCGTAACGACCTACCGTACGGCACGTCCGTAATAGAGAGATGCTGTGCGGTAGATAGAATCACCGTCGTGGGGAGAACAGTCACGACCGGGAGCCTCAAACTCCCGCTCGTGCTACAATGCATCCTATGGATATTTTTGTTGTGCTCTAGGCTGAAATCGACATAGTTCGATTGCCACACTCTTATAGCGCTCTGGTGCTGCTGCCATCGCATAGTTTTTTTTATTAAAATTTTGTGCGCTTGGTGACTGCCATAATTTTAAATTTGCCACCACACGTCTGTAACAACTTGTGCATTTCCATCGAGTTACTTTAATTCAGATTTTGCTTAGTTTTTATTAAATTTGTAATATTCAAATATTTTCATTGATTCACAACGTTTAATTTGATTTTTTAATTAGTTAATTGTACACTACAATTCTATTGCACAATTTAACTTACGAACTACCGAACCAACTGCTTTGAAATTTTGTACAATAATGTAATTGTAAGGATGGTAAATCACTAAATAGAACTCATCTGTTTATTCCTTCCAAACAACGATTTAATAGTTACAGAACAATGATAAAAATTTATATACAGGGTGATGAAAAAATGACGTATAAACTCGATGGTACATTGTTAAAACTTGAAAAAATGGTTGAAATTTCCTGAACCAAATTTTTGAAAATATTAAACTTCAAAGTGTCACAAATCACATCTGTCAACAGTAAAAAATGTGGATCGTATTCTAGCACAAAATATTGTTAAATTAAAAATAACTAATTATTTAACAGTCTATTTGAAAGGCAATTCATTAAAACAAATGAGAATTACAAAGTCTTCAACTTCAACCTTTAATATTTTTAAGGATTTTTTTAACCATTTTTTCCAGTTTTTCAGAGACTTCTTAACAACATACCATGAAGCTGATATGTCATTTTTTCATCACCCTGTATTTATTCTTCTCCACTAGGAATCAATGACGTCATAATTTTGGATCTATTTTTTTTTCTTTTGTTTTTAAATGGAAAAGCGTCATCACAATTATTCAAATAACGAAAATAAGATCAATTTTTTTAGAAATAATTTCTGGGAAACCAATAAATTTTCATGATTCTAAATACCTTAAAATGTTTACAAGATTACAGAAGCTCCGGTTATGCAATTTCCAAAATTTTTTTAAATTCAAACACAATTTAGACACTGTAGAGCAAACAAGGCTTATAAAACCCGTCTATTAGTTTATTCGCCTAAATGTATTATTAATACCGTTTTCAAATTACACCAAAATTGAAAAATCGAAAACTTAATAATTGAAAAATTGAAACATTTCAAATGAAAAAAATCGGTAAACCGAAAAATTGAAAAACCTATAAATCGAGAAATTGAACAATCTAAAAATTAAACAATTTAAAAATCGAAGAATTGGAAAACCAAAAAATCTAAACCGAGAACTTGAAAAATCGAATAATCGAGAAATCAAAACATCAAGGAAAACAAAAAAATTAACGCAAAATCTAGAACTTAAAAATTGAAAAATTCAAACACCTATCGAAAAAATTGAAAAACCGAGAAATTGAAACATCAAAAAATGGAAAAATTGAAGAACCGAAACATTGCAAAATCTCAGAACTGAAATACTGAAAAACTGAAAAATGGAAGGAAAATTGAAAAATCGAAAAAGTGAAAAAATTCAAAACTGAAATCCTGAAAAACTGAAAAATGGAAAGAAAATTGAAGAATCGGAAAAGTGAAAAAATCCAAAACTGAAACATTGAAAAATCCAGAAATCGAAAAATTGAAAAAGCACAGTTGAAGAAAGAATTGAAAAATCAAGAAATAGAGAAATGGGAAAATCAACAAATCAGTTAATCGAAAAATTGAAAAATCGAAAAATTTAGAAACGTCAAAAATTGAAAACTGAAAAATAAAAATTAAAAATCGTAAAACTAAAATATCGTAAAGTTAATAAATTGAAAAACTGAAAATTTTTGAAAAAAAAAATCGTATCAAAAACTAAAAATTCAAAACATCGAGAAATTGAACAATCAAAAAATCAAAATATTGAAATCCCAGTAAGTTGATAAATAGGAAAATTTAAAAAACAAAAATTTTAAAAATCCAAGAATTGAACAACAAAAAAAATCTAAGCCTGAAAACTCAGAAAATTGAATGAACGAGAACAAAAAATTTAAATTTAAAAATTCGACAAATTGAAAAATCAGGAAACTGAAAAATCGAAAAGTCGAGATAGTGAGAAATCTAAAAACCTAAAACTTTAAAAACTGAAATATTAAAAATTAAAATATCGAAAAATTTAAAAACTAAGAAAACACAATATCAAAAATTTGAAAAATTGAAGAAACGAAATATTGCAAAATTCCAAAGCTGAAATATTGAAAAACCTAAAAATGGAAGGAAAATTAAAGAATCTAAACAGTGAAAAAATCCCAAACTGGAACACTGAAAAATTGAGAAATGGAAAAATGGGAAAATCAAAAAAATTGGTCTAAAGAGTTTAGACAGTAGTTCCCTCGCTATCGGAAACGTGACGACTGCATGCCTATTATGTTTTTTTTTTCACATTAGATTTCAAAGCCATCGGTTTTGTAGTTCCTGATTAAATCAATAAAATAAATTTGCGCATTCATTAAATTTTTTGAGTCACCCTGTATATCCGAATCCAAAAAATATGAATGGAATGATAAATTACAAGAAGAGACTCATCATATTTTGTAAATTTTAAATAGGATTATACGGCAAACTTTTGAGCTGACGTCATCAATTTTTTGGAGGGGATAAGCAAATATATTTTGACTAAAAATTTATTATGCTCTTTATAACCTGAAAACATTTGCAAGATTTCAAAGCATTGGGTTCTGTAGTTCCTGATTAAATCAATAAAATAAATTTACGCATTCATTAATTTTTGGGATCATCCTGTATATGCAAATCCAAAAATGAATGGAATGATAAATCACAAGAAGAGACTCATCATATTTTATACAATTTAGATAGGATTTATTCAGCAAAATTTTGAGGTGACGTCATCAATTTTTTAGAGGAGACAAGTAAATATATTGTGATTAAAACGGTCCTGGTTTAATAACAAAAATATATTGTTCGTCTATAAAACAAGCTCGTCTTAGACAAAGTATTCGTAAAAAAAATATGTCGTAAAAAAATTTACGTATGCTGGTCCCGACTGCTATTATGGTTTAAATATTTTTTAGAAAATCCTGTCATGGATGTAGAAACATTTGTGACAGCCAAAGAAGTTTTTTTGAGAAAATTACCTTTAAATTTAGATTGAAATAGACACTAGGCAACAGGCACATTTGGGCGAAAGAAAGAGAAATTAGGGTTACAGCTTCCAATTTTGGACGTATTTACAAACTTAGACCGACTACAGCAATAGCTAAAACTGTGGAGTCTCTGTTGTACAGTACATTTAGTGTTTTGAAATAAATAAAAATATAAAAACTGAACGGTGTGGCTTGTTCATTTCAAAACAATTACCTTACTTGGCTGCTAGTCCAGACAGGGTTCTAGAGGATAGGAGTGCATTAGTCAAAATTAAATGCCCTTCAAAATCGCAAGATTTGTCTCCCGAAGAAGCGGTTAGAGAAAAAATAATCAAATTTTGTACATTGACAGACAGAGAATTGAAACTAAAAAAAAAAATCACGATTACTACTTTCAAGTCCAGGGACAAATGCTTGTTACGGGTATTTCACAAGTTTATTTTGTTGTATGGACATCAAAGGAATAAATATAGAAAAAAATTATAAAGACGAAGAAATATATGTAAAAAGATGGCAGATAAACTTGGCAAATTTTACTTTGGCGCAATATTGCCCGAAATAATTGATTCAAGAAGAAAGAGGAACCTGCCTTTGCGAGAGATTTTTTTTAAATAAATAAAATTTGTTTCTATTTTTTTTATGTACTTTAATAATTTATTAGGAGTACATTTTTCATCACCAAGACTTGCATATTTTTATCATAAATATATTTCGAAAATGATCTCTCGGCAAATGAAAACATATACGACCACTTTTTTCGAGTAAACAATGAAGGGAGAAGCTACTGGGCGTAGGGCTTTTTTAAAACACCTCCTTTCTGGGATAAGTAGTAGATACACTTAGCTACTTATACGTGTTAAACAAAAGCTGTATTTTATATATTTTTTATTATTATTATAAATATGTTTATTAGTTTTATTAATTAAGAAAGCAAAATATATATTAACAATAATATTATAATGAATTTTTAATAATCATGTGTATTGAATTCAGGATCCTAAGTGGAGTAAAAATATTATAGTTCCCCAGTTTTAATTCGGTTTTATGATAGTACCTCATTGCGTAAAAGTTAATTTGCTTAACAATAGATTACTACGGCCGGTCCTAGCGGCTTGTTATAAAACTGAGTTCCTTGCCATAAATTAGAAAAATCAGCCGAGAACTCTAACAATCAGCTTATGGTAGAGCAGGCGATAAGGGTTTTACCTAGAAAGTCGCTTCCGTAAATTTTAGTGGCGCTCCTATCGGCAAAGTACTGAACTAACTGCTCAAATTCTGTCGAATTGATACCCATTTTTTTTAATAATTGTTAGTTTTTATTAAAAACTCTGCTAACCAATGGATCATTAATTTTCCTCTGATATTCCTGTTAAAATTATTCGACGTATTTTGCATTAATTTGTGATATATTTTGATTTTAATAAACACATTATTATTTAAACAAATTGTACCACTAACAAACATTTAATGACTCTGCGCCCTATAAAAAGTGATGTTTTATCCGTGTGCGAATTTTCAAGCGCTCTAGAATATGAAAAAAGCTGTAGTTTGATATATGATACATCTATATTAATATCATTTTTTCATACAAAAAACCAAAAAAATGTTATACCTCGTCTAGCGAGTCCCCTTAACTACAATCGGTCTAGTAGTTTCAGAGACTATCTGTCTAATAAAAATATGGAGAGACGGCAGACCGACAAACAGATAGACAAACAGACGGAAACATGAAGCTAGCCACTCGTCCGATGGACCTATTACAATACTTCCTTAGCTTACACTCGGGAAGTAAAAATCTAAATAATACAAGTTACAGTGAAAAAAATCGGTAAAAATGGGATTCGAACCCACACAGAACCGAGCACAAGTCCGAAAACGAATCATCAATCCCTCTCGACTACGAAATATTTCATGCAGAAGCAACATATCGGCTACGTGAAGCACGTGGAAAATATTGCACAAAAAATCGTAAAGTAATTGTAATAAAAACAAGGCGGATTCATAAACCACGAATACAGGAGCAAATTATTTCATTAAATTTAGATAACCTTAACTGCGTAAAATGATGAGGGTACGTCATCACATTGTTGGTGGGGACGATTAGACGATTTTAGTTAGCGTTTTACCATCTACACGATAATCCTAACATACGTATAAAATTTGACAACAATCGGTCCAGTAGTTTCAGAGATTAAGGGTCTAATTAAAATCGACACAGACATAAACCCCAAGTACATTTTAAATTTAAATTTAAAGTGGGATTCTATTCTTAACATAAACTAGAATTAGACACCAAATATCCTTTGAATAAAAATCACCGTATCTCTCCATAAGTAAAGCAAAACTTTAATACGACCAAAAATCAAATAAATAACTGTAATATGCAAAACTAACCATATTCTTATATTGTCTGGCTAATGTTTCGATATTTATTTATAGCATCCTCAGACCTCTACAAGACAAGGTATGGTGTTATCTACAAAACTGTACAAAACGTGTGTAAACTGACTCTCTAATTAAAAATAATAATAAAATTTTATGGTACGATGACACATGTTACTTTAAAAGGTTAAATTAACAAAAAATGGTGGGCAAACATCTGTTATTAATGCTATTATTAGTGTTATTTTAATTTTATTGTGCCCAAATTACCGGAAAATATAAAATCAAGGAAAGCGACGTTCATGGGCAAGATTATATTTAGCGGTCATGAGAAAACTTAAACAAATTTGTAATTTGTTTCTGAACACTTTTATATTTACAGCTTACACGAAATAACTGACCTAAATAAAAACTGTGAAGTAGAATCTTTTATATTTCTTAATTGCTGGAGCAGTGACATGAAGTTTCATGACATGAAGATGATGGGAATCGCTACTAGCTAACTTGATCAAAAAAAATCAATCTTTACAAATTCTGGATAAAATTGTATTCTTATGACACCCACGTTTAGTAGTAGCTAGAAAGCTTAATTTTTTCCAAATTTATTCCGTTTTGTATAGCCGATTGATGCAGAAGAGGGAATCGCCACATTTCAATTAACCTAAACTTACCATGCCATATAACAAATCCAGCGCTCTCAAACGTATCGACTCGTCTTTATCCTCCAAACATTGCAAAATCAGGTCCTTATGAGCTTGAACACTCTTTGGGTGAGTTTTCAAAATTTTAGACATAGCCAACAAGCCCAAATATTTTACTACAATTAAAACCAATTACAACAAATCTACACTTTCCACCACCTTACAATTTTGATCAGAATCCTCAATCAAAATCCTCAACTTTTGCACACACAACTGTATACTAGCCGCATGATTTGGCATCCCAGTGGAAATGCTAATCAAAACGGCTATAACAGTGTTTATACACTCGTAGAGCAAACTCATTGCTGACGTACTGCAAAAAATCAAAAATAAATTTCTCTAGGTACACACACTGGGACAAGCTCTAGCGGACCTACCTATGTATGAGATTGGTAAGAGGTTCGATCAACTTTTTACCTAGCCTAGGTTCTAATGGGGTTAGGGCACCAAACTAAAAAACAAAGCAGTGAATACCTTGCAACTGTATTGATCAAGGGTCGGGTTAATTTTTGACCCAATTGGGGCTCAACCATTGTGAAATGCGAAAACTGGTTGTTACATTAGTGTACTAAAAGTATCCACAGGTCACTCACCAGTTTGATAATTTTTATTAGCATCCAGTTGTTTGTACTTGTCGTCATCAATTTAAAAAAGACAGGGGCTAGACTTAGGTAATTTTTTGGATTTTTTCTAGCCAGTTCGCAAACTACGTTTACAGCAGCTGATTGAACACCGGGATCTGGATCTTCGAGCTTTTCTTTCAGTTTGGGAAAAGCTGGACGCAACGCTTCTGGATATTTAAGGAACACTTTATACATCATCAGTACTGCTTTTTTCCTAATGTATGGTTTTGTAGAACTCAACTAAAATAACGTAGTTGTGAAAAACTCGCAAATGGGTCACGCAAATCGTACCAAAGTTAAAATGTCATTCGATAAATCTCTTGCTAAGTCCATACTAATGTAACAACTTAAAGACGTCAAGGCCAAACCAGCTTCATACTGATTTTGAGAGTTCAATTCCTTCCTAATCATATTAGTGGTCAACATTAGCAACTACAATATTTGTTTTAATTGAAATTAACCCAAATTTGTAACTCACCTCGGAATCACAATGAAATGATTGACTAGCAGCTAAATAACCTATCCTTTTTAACGTAAACTTACTCGAGCTCATCACTTCAATTATATTGAACCCAGCCCACGAAATATCATACCCTAACATTTGCAACTAAAACAACTTAGATGAAATAATCTCACAAAAAACAAATCCGCCTTACATAAGTTAATTTAGCTATCGCGTTGCTCTTAACCGAAAGATTGTCCTGACGAAGCTCCTGCTTGATATCTTCCATACATTGCGAGATATATTTGGCCTGAAAATTGCCGATTTAGCACCTTACAATACATAACCTCAAACTTTCTCCACCTCATTTTCCTTGTTATTACGTATCCCACGGACTAGATCCGTCAGGTTTTTATCGAACATACGTTCTATATTACCTTTGACCTTCTTTAAAGCCATTGTGGGGCTGAAAAGGTCGCTATTTTAATTAAAAACTCTCCGCTCTCACCGAAAGTCTTACAAGTTTCAAAACTTCCAGCTGGTGTGATTATTCGATCCAAACGATTCAACTTTTGTTTCTTTCATATCACAGTGTTTTTATCAGGGGGAACGCTAGCATTTTTTAAAGAAATAATGTTTTGTGTACTTATCGCAGCCACGTTACTGATGACAGAAAAATTGACAAGTATGACAGCTGACAGGTAGCAGCGGCGGCTCGTTGAGAGGGTCGTGGGTGATTTTGTGACGATTTTCACGGCTTGTGCAGGCAAAGACGAGTGTTTCAGTGATGATTTAGTCTAATTTTGAAGAAAATAATTTCAGGTTTGTCACACAGTATTTAGGTTGAGTGATTGAAGTTCCGCATGCCGCGGTGACATAACCTCAAAATCATGGCAAGTTTAGGTGAAAAAATTAACCGAATTCTTAATCGGAGGTCGGTGAAGTATGGTTTGCCCTTCCTTTTGGTTGTGCTCGGTGGTTCTTTTGGTCTGCGAGAGTTTACACATCTTAGATATCAGTTTTCGAGAGTCTCGCAGGTGAGACCTGAGGAACTCAAAAAAGTGGGTGTTGAAATGAAGAAACCGGGTGAAGTAACACTAGAGGGTGAATATGAGAAGATTAAGAAGATAGATATTGATAATTGGGAGCAGGTGCGAGGACCCAGGCCTTGGGAAGAGGAAACGAGCGAGTAGTTATTTAAATATTTTATTAGTCAGTTTTGTTTAATAAAAAAATAATTGAAAACTGTATTGTTTTGCTTGTTTATGTGACAGATATACCTACCTTGTTTCCCTGTTGTAAATGCCATTAAACTTTTTTTTTAATTAACTTAAAAGAAAACTTATAATATGTAATCTCGTTCTCAGACTTGCTGAACACTCAGATTGATTTGTTCCAAGGTCCTCGGCCTCAACCCTTCTATGGGATGCTTGCAAATTTCTTACCATGTTTCACGATAAGTTTTCAATCGAATTTAAATCCGGAGATCTTGCCGGTCTTACCGTGTAAATCGCAAAACGCTAATCAAAATTCGTCTGTTCATCCCACCAACAATGAAATGACGTCATCCCCAAGTTTAGCAGTAGTAAATATGATTTAAATTTAACTCCTCTATTTGTGGTTTACGAATCCGTCTTGAGTTTATACCTTAGACATCCAAATGTTTGGGAAAAAATCAAAATTGCATAACATTTTGCAATTTAACTTTGAAACTGCAAAATCGAATGCTTTAAAATCTTGCAAACGTTTTAAGCTTATCTCAGTTTTTGGATTTTTCAATTTTTTATTATTCAGTTTTTCGGTTTTTCATTTCTTGGATTTTCAATTTTTCGATATTGCAGTGTTGTGATTTTGTAATTTTTCGATTCTTTAATTTCTCGATTCGGTGTTCCAGTTTTAAGATCTGTTCAAGTTTTCGATTCTTCAATGTTTTCCATTTTTAAATTTTCTATTTCTCAATTAATCGCTCTTTTGATTTTAGATTTTTCGATTTCTCCAATGTTACGGCTTTTCGATTTTTAGATTTGCCGTTTCCTGATTTTCCGCTTTTTAGGTTTTTCAGTTTTACAATGCTCCAATTTTTCGATTTTTTAAATTTTCGTTTTTTCGATTTCTCGGTTTTTCAGTTTTTCAATGTTTTAAATCTGGAATCTTCTTCAATTGAAAAACTGAAACATCGAGAAATCGAAACATCAAAAGGTCGAATAATCAAAAATTCAAAAAATCGAAAAATTAAAAAAAAATAAATGAAAATGATTTCAAAAATTGGAAATTAAAAAACATGGATAAATTGAAAGATCGATACATCGAAATCTTGATAAATCAAGAATTCGAAAAATTGAAAAATCAGAAAATTGAAAACTCGCAAAATTGAAAAACCGAAAATCTAAAACCGAGAAGTCAAAAAATCGATTGATCGAGAAATGAAAAAGCTGAAAAATCTAAAACTGAAACATTCGAAAATCAAATCGAAATATAGAACTGAAAAATGGAAAAATCAAAAGAACGAAAATTTGTAAAATCACTATTTGAATTTCTCGGTTTTGTCCACGTTTCGAGCTTTTCGATTTCTCAATTAATCGATGTTTTAATTTCTCGTTTTTTTGACATTACGACTTTTCGATTTTTTTAATTTTCCATTTCTCGATTTTTTTTTATTTTTCAGTTTTTCGTTGCTTTAGTTTTTGATTTTTCAATTGTTCGATATTCAAATTTTCGATTTATCGAGTTTTGGATTTCGAGATGTTTCGATATTTCAGTTTTCGGATTTTTCAATTTATGGATTCCTCAATTGAAAAACTGAAACATCGAGAAATCGAAACATCAAAAGATCGAATAGTCAACAATTCAAAATATCGAAAAATTAAATGAAAATAATTTCAAAAATTGGAAAACTACAAAATTGAAAAACCAAAAAATCGAAAGCATAGAAGTCAAAATATCGAATGGTCGAGAAATCAAAAAATTAAATATCGAAGAACTGAAAAATCGAACAATCAAAAAATCTTCAATTTTTGGAAATTAAGAAATTAAAATATTGAAAAATCTAAGAACCGAAAATTTGTAAAATCACTATTTGAATTTTTCGGTTCGAACTTTTCGATTTTTCAATTAATAGATTTTTTGAGGTTACGACTTTTCATTTTTTTTCTCATTTCTCGATTTCTTGAGTTTTCAATGTATCAATTTCTGGATTTTTCGATTTCTCGTTTTTTTTTTATTTTCAGTTTTCGATTTTTTCAGTTTTTTGATTTTTCATTTTTTCGATATTCAAATTTTCAATTTCGAGATTTTTCGATGTCTCACTTTTCGAATTTTTCAATTTATGGATTCCTCAATTGAAAAACTCAAACATCGGGAAATCGAAACATCAAAAGATCGAGAAATTGAAAAGTCGAGAAGTCCAAAAATCTAAAAGTTTAAAGTCGAAAAATTTTATGAATTTTTGATTAAAAAAAAATGAAAAACTGAAAAATTTTAAATTAAAAAATCGATAAATGAAGAAATCGAACAATTGGTCAATCGAAAGATCGAAACCCTTGTGGCGGCACAATAATAGGTTGGTAAGCGAAAAAAGATAAGCCGTTCTGGAGTCTAGTGGTCAGGGCACTCGCCCGGCAAGCGGGAAACGTGTGGTTCGATTCCCACAGGGGCAGCAACATTTTTCTTCGCTTACCTTCACATTGAAATCACGATAAATCTAGAATTCGAAAAATTGAAAAATCAAAAAATTTAAAGACAAAAAATTGAAAAACCGACACATCTAAAACCTAGAAGTCGAAAAAGCGAAAGGTCTAAAAATAAACATCAAAAAACTGAAAAATCTAAAATTTATATTTTTGAAAGTGAAGTAGAAATATCGAAGAACTGAAAAATCGAAAAACCTAGAATTTTCAAAATTGAGAAATTAAAGTATCGAAAAATTGAAAACCCGAAAATTTGTAAAATCGCTATTTCGATTTCTCTGCTTTGTTGATTTTTAGCGTTTTCGGGCTTTTCGATTTCTCAATTAAACGACTTTTCAATTTTTCGATTTCTGGATTTTTTGACTTTTAGATTTCTTTTAAATTAAAAAAAAATTGAGAAAACAAGAATTCGAAAAAATAAAAAATCAATAAAACTGAAGTCTTGAAAAATAAAAAATCTAATATTTTCAAAATTCAGAGATTAAAATATCGAAAAATTATCGATAAGTCGAGAATTCGAAAAATTGAAAAATAAGAAAACTGAACAATTGAAAAATAAAAAAATTTTAAAATTTAAAAACGAAAAATTCAGAAACCCACACATCTAAAACCGAGAACTCGAAAAATCGAGAAATATACATACATCAAAAAACTGAAAAATCTAAAATTTAAATATTCGAAAATGAAACAGAAATATCGAAGCACTGATAAAAAAATCGAGAAATTTAAAAATCTTAGAATTTTTGAAATTGAGAAATTAAAATATCGAAATATTGAAAATCCGAAAATTTGTAAAATTCCTATTTCGATTTCTCTGTTTTGTCGATTTTTAGACTTTTCGGTCTTTTCGATTTCTCAATTAATCGTTTTTTTGGTTTTTCGATTTCTCGATTTTTTGACGTTACGACTGTCCGATTTCGTGATTTTCCGATTTCCCGAGTTTTCAATATGTTGATTTATGGATTTATCCATTTCATGTTTTTTTTTTCAGTTTTTCATTGCTTCAGTTTTTGATTTTTTCAGTTATTTGATTTTTCAATATTCAAATTTTCGATTTATCGATTTCTCGATTTTTCGATTTATGGATTCATCAACTGAAAAACTGAAACATCGAAAAATCGAAACATCAAAAGATCGAGAAATCGAAAAGTCCAAAAATAAAAAAATTGAAAAATCGAAATAGTCCAAAATCGAAAAATCTAAAAGTTTTAAGGCGAAAAATTTCAGGAATTTTTGGTTAAAAAAATTTAAAAATTTACAATTAAAAAATCGATAAATCGTTAAATCGAAAAATTGAACAATTGAGAGATCGAAACACTGAAATAACGATAACTAAATTGAGAATTCGAAAAATTGAAAAATCAAAAACCTGAGCATTTGAAAAATTAAAAAATTAAAAATAAAAACGAAAAATTCAAAAACCGACACATCTAAAACCGAGAACTCGAAAAAGCGAAAGATCTTAGAAATAAACATTAAAAAACTGAAACATCTAAAACCAAAAATTCGAAAATCAAATCGAAATACCGAATAACTGAACAATCGAAAAATCAAAAAATCTAAAATCTTCAAAATTGAAGAACCGGAAATTTGTAAAATCCCTATTTGAATTTGTCGGTTTTGTCCACGTTTCGAGCTTTTCGATTTCGCAATTAATCAATTTTTTGATTTCTCGGTTATTTGACCTTACGACTTTTGGATTATTTTTTATTTTTCAATTTTTCGATTTTTTTAATTTTCGTTTTTTCGATTTCTAGATTTGTCAGTTTTTCGATGTTTTAAATTTGGAATCTTTCAATTTACGGATTCTTCAGTTGAAAAACTGAAACATCGAGAAATCGAAACATCAAAAGATCGAATAGTCAAACATTGGAAAAATCGAAAAATTAAAAAAATTTAAATGAAAATGAATTCAAAAATTGGAAATTAAAAAAATCGAAAAATTGAAAAATCCAGAAATTGAACAATCGGAAGATCGATACATCGAAATCTTGATAAATCGAAAATTCGAGAAATTGAAAAATCCGAAAACTTAGTTTTTTGATTTCTCGGTTTTTAGTTTTTTTGACTTTTCGGGTTTCCGATTTTTCAATTTTTCTATCTTTAAATTTTTTGGTTTTTTGATTTCTCAATTTTTCAGTTTTTCGGTTCTTGAATTTTTCAAAATTTTACCTTTTCAATGTTTTAAAAATCTTTTCTTCGATATTTCTCTGTTTGCAATTTTTAAGATTTTTAAATTTTTGATTTTTCAGTTTTTTCATTTCTTGAATCTCGGCTTTTCGATTTTTAAACTGATCTTAACCACTGATCCATTTTGAGAGAAAGAACTTTAAAAATTGTCATCAGTTAAATTAACATCATCGTGGACTCGAACAGGAGAGGGGTTTTATATTTAGGTATTTTGTATCACATTTACGTGTTAATGTCCGTGAATTTGAACATTTATTCTCGAATTACTTCGCTCCTGAGCAAGACGTTTCCGAAACCATCTTATTTTGATTTTAACCGTATTTAATATGTGCCTGTTGTGCTTATTTCATATGTGCTTAATTTTATGTGAAATGGGGATTCCGTCCACGATGTAATCTTGATGAACTCATTTTAACATACGCAAGAACTTGAATTAATACATAATTTAACATCATGAAAATTCTTTGTACTTTAAAATAGGTACTTTATAGAATAAAACGTAATTAATTATTGCTTGCTTCTTGCCTGATAATTGTAGAACTCTTTCAGTTATCGTTGTAAGTTCTATAGATTAAGAGCCGATTTACGAAAGCTCAGCTAAATATTTCAGTGCGATTAAATTTTAAATGAGACATACAGTACCACGTGACCGACTCTACACCAATCACATGTCGCTAAACCCCTCATTAAATAAGCGATTAACCTAATCTCAATTAAAACACTTTATAATCTGGCCCTTTGAGCTAAAATTTTTAGCTGAAATAAATGCACAAAATCGCGTGACGAAAGTGGAACACACGATTTTTCTCTCATGTCTTTTTCTCTAAAAGATTATTATTAGTAGTATCTAGTCATGGGTCCACGTGAAACGCGTAGTTTGATTTTAGCTGGGTGTTTTGCGAAAACGGGATGTAGTGTATAATATGCGGCAGGTTTTTGGAGTATGGAAATGTATTGTAGTGTGTTTACCGGTGACCGTCACAAAATTGCCCCTCGGTAACTTATTTTTAACGAAGGTGATGGATTGATGGTGTATTATTAAGGAAAACAATAAATCACACTAAACCTAAACATTAAACTAGGTTAAAAAATCGGTGGGTGTTATACCTACTTAATTGTGTTACCACGCTAGATTATCAAACCACAAGTTGCTTACGTAAAATTAATGATTTTATTCTCTTATTAAAACAGATGGAACAACAACCATTACCCTGAAACAAACAATTAATAATTCAAGTATATAAACCAAGGTTTCCGATAATGTATTTTATTTTCATAAAAATACATAATAAAATATTTTCAAAATCTCAAACATATCACACAAATTGGGTATTGGTCATTTGATATAGAAACATACACTCTGTAACATCATATATCACAACAGAATTTCAAAATTGGTGTAAACTTCCATAGCTGTCAACAATTCACAAACCAATAACATTTGAGTCGGTCAAACTGTTAAACATATCAAACTACCTATAATTACAATTTATTTAATTGTATGTTACAAAATATCTAAGCTGTTTAGTCTTTGGTTTCTGCTACGATGTCTATCGATGTTTGGCAACGCTTCCAGACGAAGAGGTTTTCTCGAATTCCCGTCTGACGATCCTAAAAAAACCGCTTTCAGTCACTTTGGAATCTCAAAAAGCGTTAACTCTAACCATTCAACCACAAGTTATTGAAGCTGCCGCTCAAATTAGGTGGTCTCCCGGGACGACCTCCCTCGTGGTCGTCGGTCGCTTTCGGCTTGCTCCGCCTGGCGAAATCTGTAAACGTCATATGCCCTGGATCTGAGTTAGCACATCTACTCTACTCTCCACACATTTTACCTCTCCAGGTGTTGAAAACTCGATTGGCATCTAGCCGCGACGACTGACTTAACAGTTCCGCCGCCCTCTTCGTCGTCGGGGTAAAGTAGCTCCCTATAATATCCTCTTCCTCGGACTTTTCCAGTTTCTGGAGACAAATCCAGCAATTACCATCACCCACATTTTCCCCCTCTCCGCTAATCTCTACCCCTAGCCTTACCTCGGTCACCACTGGCGACATTCGACTACTTTGTCCTAGTGCGGCATGCACAGAAAGGGGCGTGCTTTAATAGAAAAAAAAGGAGTGGTAACGGGCTCCGGATTGGCTAATCGAACGAAAGTGACGCCCATCCCCCCACCAACAAACGCAAAGAAGCCAATGCCAACTAAAGAAAACAAAGACAATTTTGATCACCTTCTCCAAAAAATCGTTATCGTACGCCTCGTCGTCGAACGATTCTTGTAATCTAGCCGGAGCCGTTTGTATGTCATGTAAGCGACCTAAACACATCCGTTATGACGCGACACGTCTGCATGACGTCATGGAGCTTACCTGCGGGGGGGAGTTTGGTGCGGGGGGTGATGAGTTCCGGGAGCTTGTACTTCTGGGCGTCCTCCTGCCACACTGCTTGCTCTTTGACGACCTCCAAATCGCTATTACAACATTATATACAATTCTGGTACTACTCAACTTCAAACCTACCTGTAGTTGCACTCTTTTTTTAAAGTACCAGCGATTTTGTCGCAAATCTGTGACAAGAGTTTGATGTTTTGGTCTTGCTTTCTTATAGTTTCGAGATAGTCTTGACGTTCGGTTTCAAATTCGCTCTGTATGTCTGAGATTTCCTTTTCGAGGGTTTTGACTTTGTGGCGATATCTTCGTAGTGCTTCAGTCTTGAGGTTGAGCTCGTGACTGATGTCTTTGTATTGGTTGTGGAGGATCTCGCGGTCTTCGTTCATGTCGATTTTGGCTAACAGATGAGCAATAACGCTGGCGCGTTTTTCGGCGGCCAGTTTCTTCCGTTTTCGCCTCTCGGAGAGTTCTTGGTCGTTGGCTTTCTCACCTCCGATCATCGATTTCTTCAGTGCTTCGATCCGACTGAGGATTTCTTCTTTGCTGCAAAGCTCCTTCTGCTTTTTGTCTTGGATCTCGCTGTTCAGTTTTTGGATGTTCTCTTCGTACTCTTCCTTGATTAGTTGGATTTGTTTAAGGACGTTTTCTTTTTCGTTCTTTTCGTTCTGGTGGAGGTTCTTCAACTTTTCCATCTCTTGTTGGTACTCGTGGATTAGGCGGTCGCGTTTTGCGTCTAAGTCGGTATTGTCTTGAACCACTTCCTTTTGTTCGTCCTCGTCGAACGAAACATCTTCGATTTTGAGTTGTTGGTTACCTAGAAGTTTCTTCAGTCGTTCGATTTCTTCTTGGTATTGACGCAAAATCGTGTCTTTGGGGTCTTCATTGACTCGTGGTTTGTTGTGGATGTTTTTGGCTCGGTTGGCGTACCTGAGGGTCGACAAGGTTTCAACGTAGTCTCTACTCGACGGACTTACACAAGCTATCATCAAAGTCCTCGTGTTACCTCCTAAAGAATCCTGAAACATAACATTAGCTTGATTTTACTAAACCCGGACAACAAACCTGTAGCAGCCTAGTTAATTTAGAATCCCTATAAGGTATATGTTTGGCTTTTCCATCCACCAAAGCCGAAATGACGTTCCCCAAAGCACTCAAAGACAAATTAATCTTCGTGGCTTCTTTCAACCGATCACCCGTTGCCCCAGTTTTGGCCTGCCTCTCCGACCCTGCCAAGTCCACCAAATTCAACTTCCCTTTCTTCAAACTCTCATTATTGTTAATGTTCGTAATTTGCTCTATACTTATCGTGAAGATACTGTGCGACCTCGAACTATTCTGGTTCATTAAGGTCGCCCCAATTATTCGATTTTTCGACCCTAAGTTGAGAAAGTGCTCGCATTCGGCTGCGTTATGTACAGGGTGCGTGGTCAACCCGGGCACTGTGACCCCTTCCGTCGGACTCTCCTTCAGGTTGATGTTTGAGGTAACTTTGTCGCTCGGCACTAACAAGTCTCGGATTTGCTCGTTGTAGATCTCTAGGTAACTGATGAGGGCTAGGTACTTGACACCAGTGGTTACAGCGATGGCTTCAAAGACGTGCTCGAAGGCCCGGGAGATGACGCCTTTTTCGGGGTTATCTCCGGTCTTGCAGCCCTCCATCGTGTGCGATTTGCCGCAGCCGGTTTGGCCATAGACGAAGATGGTGGCGTTGTAGCCCTCCAGGACACTCTGAAAACGAAGCAATATGAGCCAGAATTCTAGGACCTGGAGAACAGTTTGAATGGTTCTTATCGATAGACAAGCGGGATACCAAAATTTTGCGAGTTAAGATAGAATTTGTGTTTAACACACCAAAGGGTTTAAAGGTTAAGAAAAGAAACACATTGGAAAACCACGTGTGTTTTCCTAATAACAATATAATCAATCAATAAAGTCTCAACACGGCCACACTTATCGTGACGTCACCGTTTAGATGTCCTTAGCAGCCAAACTAATTGTTTAATTCCATGTTGTCCTGTTTATTTACGCCTTTATGAGCTAAATCGAAGTGGTTCGAGAACCAATGGATAGAATTAAGTCTCACGCTATGTTTTTATTGTTAGCAGTTGTTTGTATTTGTTCTATCAACACGATATCTCTGAAATTGTCTAGTCAATTTGGTCTATATTTGTAGCGTGTGTAATTTCATTGTTATCGAGGGTTTAGAATCTGTGTAGTTGCACTGGGACAAAGTAAATATTTTTTTGGTTTTATTAACATTTCTTTCCAATATTTGTTATCCTCTGTGTCTATAAAATATGAAAAATTTCAACAGATTATTATTTCAGTTGGTATTAACCAAATTTTGTTTGAAATTGGTAGACCTGTCACCCCACTTTACTCCTTCTTGTCAAAATTGACATGTTTGATAGTGAGATTTATCTTAAATTAGAATTTGTTATTGGTTATTGTTAAAATTTGACAGTTTTTTGAGCTCCTAAGAGTGACGGTGCCAACCATTTGGATCAGGTTCGACAACACCAGCGCAAGAAAAATTTCTCAGAATTGATTCAATCTGTTACCAACCTAAACAGTATTTTCTGATTTGAGAAAAATAAAAAAAAACATTTAACAACGTAGGCAACCAGCTCTCGTGTTCTATAACCTTTAGCGAATTAGTGAATGTCACTCCTTAAGTTGGTAGTTAAAAAATTTCTAAGAAGGCGTAACTATTGTAAGATCAGTTAATTAATGATTTTCTAATCTGAAATGTGTCAAACTTTCATTATTCCATCCACACTGTAATTTGTTTTTATTCTGGTTCATATTGACAGTTCGTGTTAAGATTTTCAACAGTTCGTGGTTTTAATACAACGTAATCATGTAAGTGTGCATGTAAAGCACGTGACAGGAAATTCACTTCTTCACCCTTTTTTGTAATCACGACATATTTAAAGTTCTGAATGTTTTTACGTAAGCTTACGTCATCGGAGCTTCATAATTTCTCATTCGAGATTTATTATAATAGTTCATTTACGGCATCTGAACTAATCTCAAGCATTTTGAGAGAAAGGACCTTGAAGATTATCATCACTTAAATTAATATCAAAACATGTACATTTTTGTGGTTTGAAACTGTCGATAAAGTGGGACATAACGAAAATTTGTTTCTCTTGCAGATTCAATCATTCTTTTAACCATTATCATGTGGTGGCCAGAATTGAATTAAAATTTCGCGCTGAAAAAACAACGGTGCGAAATCGCATTTGAATAATTCAAGAAAATTGTTAAACTTAGGCAACCATGTGCAAGTTTAGTGCTTTTTGGGCAGTTGGTAGCTCTCCTAGGGAATTTCTGTTGAGAAGGTTTGTAGAAGTTGATTATTTGGTGGCGGTAAGTTAGCTAGGTCAAGTCCGTGGGTGTGGTAGTTAGAAAACAGGGAAAGCCTTTGTTTAACGGAAATTAATCGTACCGACGTCGACGCCACAGTTTCCTCAACACGCGTAGCTAATTCTTGCGGTTTTTCCAAGCTGAAATATGCAAATTTTCGACCGACGCTAACACGTGGTGTAAATTTGTTTTATTGTTTGTAAATGCATAGGATTTTAATCGTTAACTGGTTCTAACACAATTGAACAGTCAGGATTTTGTTTAGATATAGTACTTGCTAGGAGATTTCACGAAATTCACTTAGTAAGGACTCATGTTTTGTTTATTAATTATAAATTAGGTTTCTGAATCATTATACTTAAGTGTTACATTATGACACTTGTAAAAAGGGCCGTGAAACTGCGGTAGAATTCAAAATATCGTGAACTGAGATACGAGTGGATTAAATTTTCCCCTTAGGCAGTTATCATTGTTATCATCATCACATCACCCAGACATTTTTCTCATGACGTTGGAAACTATATCACCGAGACGCATATTTCTCGCGACGCAGGATGCATTTTTTGTTTATTTATCATATGTTTGCTTGGGATAAGCTGAAGACAGTTCACGATATAAACTTTCAAAGTCAATCATTTAACATAATGTAAATTCTTTTGATAAAATGTGGCATAATTTAACATCAGGTAAATTCTTTGTTCTGGCACCGGCCATGTTGAAAGAGTAATTTCAAATCGAGCACATGTTTGAACCGTAAAATCTCGTTGAACAAATTAACAACATTGTGGGTCATGTGGAACGTGCATTCTGTTCCTTTGATTTATACCATTATTTACACAGCGCCACAGGATTAATCACATTTCTGGAAGACATATTTTTGACGCATTTTTTTGAACGACGCATTCGTCCGACACCAACCTCCAGATTGCCTGCTGGGTTTTTTTGTTGTAAAAGTGAATAACTTCACTTTTAAAAATTAACCAATAACTCCAATTGACATAAAGTATTAACCTCATGTAATTTTGTTAGCTTTGCAATTTTTCACCTCATGCAATTTTTCTCTATCTCACAATTTTAGCCTCAGTAATTTTCTTTGCTGTAGAACCTCACGTAATTTTTTGTCTGCACAAGTTTTACTTCGTACCAGATCTTTTTTTGTTTTTATAAATCTTTGCTAGTTTTTTTCATGTAAATATTTTGTTGATTAATGCTTCCATCATATAATGGAATATAATAATATAATATGCTGTTTCAAATTTCACGAGAGTGTATGACGAATTTAAATATTGTTTATTGCACTTTTGAAACTTTAACACTTGTACAGTTATCGTTTAATATCACATTTATAGAAAGTGAGCATTCAAATAGAATTGAGGTAAATCACACAGAAATACGTGGCGGAAGCGGAGTGCGCGGTTCCTTGTCGACCTGGCGGTCGCGTTATCTGCACAAAGGATGCAGACCTAGAATAGAAGTCAGGGGAGGTCGGGATGACGTGACGCTGTCGGTTTCTCCCCATAGCCGGGACCCGACCACCAGTTTGCGACCGTAACGGCCTGCTTGTACGGCATATTCGTAATAGAGGAGTGCTGTGCGGCAGTGCTTGCGATAGAATAAGAATCACCGTCGTGGGGGGAGAACAGCCACAACCAGGGGCCCCAAACTCCGCTTGTGCCAATTTTTGAATTTTTTAATTTTTCTTGGGCTTTCAATTTTTTTTTCATATGTCAATTTAAGGCGGAATGTTTGGGTTATTACAATATGGCAGGAAATTCACTTATTCTTTTTTTATGACAATATATCTAAAGTTCTAGATGATAAACGTCATACGCACTTCATAAATTCTCACTTGAGATTTATAATAGTTCACTGACTGCATTTACACTAATCTTACACATTTTGAGAGAAAGGACCTTGAAGATTATCATCAGTTAAATTAATATCACAGCTTGAATTTCAATATTTATTCCCTAATTATTACTTTTGCCGTATTTATTATGTACCATTTTGTGTTTATTGCGTAGGTATGTGCTTTGTTTGATGCGAAGTGGATATTCTCTGCGTCCATGATGTAAAATCAATGAACTCATTTTGATGTAATCATTGGCTTGAATTAAGGCATAATTTAACATGATGTAAGTTCTTGTGGTTTGAAACTCTTGATACAGTGGGAGACAACAAAGATTTGTTTCCCTTGCAGTTCCAATCATTCTTTTAACTATTATTAGAACTTCGAGAGTACAAATTTCAGATTAATATGGTCATCGGTATAAAAGGGATGTTGACGCGAATAGTTCTCTGATTCATTCTCAGTTTAGTATGAGTCGAACTTCTTTTAGTCAACAGTAATAAAATGAAGGAGTTGAAATTCATCGGTCAATGCAACAATGTTAGTAGGGAGCATTTTAGCGCAAGTTAGCCAGCCATTTTTTATTCCATTCAGATTGGGTACCTACTTTTGCATGGCATGCGCTTGCTTTTTGACGTAGTAGTCCACGGGAAAGTGGATGATGCGGTCAGTTGTGTAGCAATTTTTACACCGCTGGTGAATCTCTCACGACAACGTAACGCTGAAAACTAAGGAGACCTCGATCGCCTTGCTCAGAGCGATCGATCCCGTAACAGTGATCTATGATTTGGACTGCCAATACAGATTTTGGTTTAGTTCATACTTAATTTTTGAATACTGGAGAAGTTTTTTGTAGCTGGCCTCGAAATTTGTTCTCTCCAAAATGGGGGAATAAATAATAACCTGATCACAGGTTAAGACCAAATTCTGAATTATTCGCGGGTTTCAAATGTTGCTTGTATTTAGCAGGATGTTTGGGTTATCAATAATATGCACAATCCGCTTTCACAACACAATATAGGTCTTCAATTTTCTGAACCATTTACCATCTCGATTTTTGATATTTTCGCGATTTTGCGCCACTGGGTTTTAGAGCTGCAAATAATAATCAATTTTGGGAAAATACCATTGCCAACTTCGATGCTATGACTTTTGTAGGAAACAACCAAAGTATCGAGAGACTATTAATTAATGTTTGTGATTTTTTTGTTAGAATGACAACATATTTAAAATTTTTGTAATAGCATACCTGATCTCAAATTGAAATTCTTTTCACGGGTTTTTTTTGCCTCTTCATATCAAAATTTACAACTGTGAACAGACATGCTAACATTCCTACCAATAATTCAGAATTGCCAACCCAAAAATTTGTTTCAGTCGCTAATTACTATTTAGTCAACCAGTTTTTTATGTTGTTCTAAGTAGTCCGGTTTAGAGATGGAGGGCGACTGGTGGTGGGAGCAGGATTAAAATTTCTATGAAAAAAATGTCTTAGAACAAACATCTCCAA